CCGTCGTCTTCTGGTGGAACCGACCTTCAAATCTCTTCACCCAACACTTCTACTCGAAATGGAAGTAAGCTCAACATTTATGAGGCAAGAGATTCCTCGAAACCCAACTTTTCTTCATATATTGATATCAGTCATATAACGAACGAAAGCTCAGCACGTTTCAACCATAATCGTAGTCGATTGACTCGGGAAGGCGTCAATAAGTATTTTCTAGTCAAGCCAAACGGCAGCTTGCAAAAGAAATACTCTGTAGACTTCTGGTGGGATTGACCCTAAAATTTCTGCATCACACTTTTATTTGAGATGGAAGTGAACACAACACATGTAAGCCAAGAAATTCCTCAAGACTAAACCTTTCATCCCATCACTTATGTGTCAAATCCGTTCTTAAGAATTTTACTGGGGCAGGATTAATTAATTTTTCTAAGGCAATTTTTGACAATGTAATATGCTAAAAAGTATAAAAATAAAGAACTCAAGGAGCTTTATAAATTCTTAGAAATATTATATGTTACTATTCTATAGCTTTTATGATAAAATAGCACAAATTCTCAGCATACCAGAGACGTTCAACACAATACAGACCATTACTATTGAGGAGATCGACCAAGTCAACGATTTACCTGCGTTTCATAGGCCTCTGGACCGGGTACAAGACTGACAAGACCACTGTTAGCCACAGAACTGGAGGGAATTCCAGAGGAACTGGAGTCATCTAGAGCTCGTAAGCCGGAGGAAACAAGCCGAAGACCGGCGGCCATAAGTGTGCCTGACGAAGAATGAAGCCCGCTGCCGGCAGTTGCAACAGGGCTTCCAGCTAGTTGCCCAAATCTAGGGCTTTCTGACCCATACGCAGAAGCGCTCGGGGAGTTGGCGAGAGACATTCCGCCAGTAAAAAATCTATTGGAAACAGATTGTCCACCCCAGTTAAGGCTCATGGCCTGCACAATACGAACTGAGATTGGAATGTAGCCAGCATACAAGTTAGAAAGCTGGGCATCCTGTCCGAAGCCGGATTCTCCGGCGTGGGAGATTCCAACTGGAGAAGTCGTTTGCGCCTCAGTAGGCTTAACCAATAGTTTGAGACTGCGCCGAAGGGTATGCACGAACGCGGTACTCACTGCCTGAACGCTTAACCGACAGGAACCTAGAGGCAAAAAGACATTAAACTCAGAGTTTTGAAGAATAACTAAATTGCTATTAAGGAAAGAAGAGAAGTTAGAATAAAGACCTTGTGGATGATAAGGGGAGCAAATGGATATGGTTGAATTTACGAAAGTATTAAGAACCTTAAGTATCCCAGTACAGTAAAATAAAATGTTGTAGGTAGAATTTTATACAAAGGACTGATCAAACTACAGGCCTGTTGCAATGGCAAAAGTATGTCAATAAGAATCAATCAAAAGATATAACTTGATGTTAATTCTAGTGGCAGAGATAATATTGTATAAACCTCGCATAATAGAAAAATGAATAGTTCAATCCTCTAAAAGATAAAGTGGTAGCGAATAGCCCAAAATTAGCTGTGAAGTAATAATTCTCAGCCCTCGGTAGGAATTCCCTCAATCTTTCAAAAAAAGAATAAACCAAATCTTGTATGATGAGGTTGGGGTCGCTTATAAACAAAGAATTCAGCAAATAATTCGTCAAAAACAGGAAAAATACAGGATTTGGCTAAACTAGATCCAAAAGTCTAGCTAATCAGTTTGTCAGGACGCAGGTGGATAGCTAACGTTTAGTTTCGAAGAAATATCAAAACGGGTAATATTCCGCTTCGGAGTAAACAGCATGTCAATAAAAGATACGAGGGCCAAGATGGTGTTGCCTGTGGTATGGTTGTAGACTTCTTTCTATGTATAGCAGTAAACTGACCTCATTTTAGCACCTTGGTCGTGTTGTCAGGGCGAATTTGGCACACCTTGTCCGAAGTCCTCTACTGCAGTAGTTATCCAGAGTCAAACCGTCGGATAGCACAACTGTTTCCACATAAAGTTGGTCAAGGGATCGATTTCACTTGCCTTTGAAGATTTGTAGCTTGGTGCTAATAATGGGAAGACTCATTGACTATGTCGGTAAAGCGCCTAGTAATCTAACAAGTCCATCGTCCAATGCTGGGAATCATGATAATAACTATAGCTGAAGACTTCGGAAAAGGTGCGACAAACTAAGTTACCCCGACAACACAAACAGGTGTATCATTTAGAATAAGCAAATCCTCATAGTAAGATGCAACTATCGCCATGGTGAAATCAAGGAACGAAGCTAGAACCTAAGATAATGAAACATCTCGAAAGACACCCAATTAATGTATGGAAAAAAAGCATGATAGTTTTACGTATGCATAGAAGAGGAAGTGAAAATACCAGAAGCCTCTGGCTGAGCCAAGGCAAAGCCAGATGGACCAGAAACTGAAGGCAAGCCGATCCCCATAGGCAGATGGCTCGAAGCGACTGGAAGACTCGATGATGATTGGCTTGAATAAAGAAGACCAATTCGCTCGAGATTTTCCAAAGTAAATATATTCTCGAACCCGTAAGTCTGAAGGAAAAGACAAATGATTGAGAGCTTCGACCGAAAAAAGTGAAATGAGAATTATCTGACAAAAATGTAGACCATATATATTTAAGATTTAATAAGGCATAATAGATTAATTGTTTAGCTCTGCTTTTATTAAATATAAGAAAATGAGGTTTTCGAAGAATCTCCTGAGATAAGATTATTGTGAAGACTTTCATATCATATGGGAAGTGTATGATGAGAAGATTAGTAGATTATCCTGTTTGGATGGGTATAAGGGAAAATGGTAGGTTAAGCAGAGATGTCTATAATGATGTTTTTCTTTATTTTTTTCTAATCATAGCTTGGCATTTTAGAATGTGTGATTATTAGGAATGAGGCTTCTGGATGAAAATAATCTGACTGAAGAGTTAAGAAGACTGAGAGCTATATTCATATAGAATAAGTATCCTTTGGGCTTAATTGCAAATATCTTTTTGATGACTATAAGGTCAGAGATAGGCAAGCCGAGACCCTTTTTCATGTTCTTATCTTGCCATCATGTTTTCTGTCTAAGAAGATAGGAAAACTAGTGAATAAAAGGGGGATATAGAAAATTTTCGAAGCAAGTGACACTTTCTTCGATTATGCCTTATTTTAAAGAAAAATATGACCCACTATCAAGATCTGGCTGGTAAAATATTGCCTGATTCTGTGGTCTACCTTATGTTGATGAGACATGTAAGCCGATTCACCAAAGATTAGCGGAGAACAGAAATGATTGCAAAGGCAGCTGATTATCGTATATCTGCTACGAAACGCAAGATAAGAGAGTCTACTATATTAATAGATTAAGGAATAAGTTGAATGCGAGGAATGGTGGTAGAAAGTTGAGTAAGAATTACTTATGCCTGAGTGAAAGCTAGGAGTACGAGTGTATTAAGCCACCGTCCAAAAGACGACGACTTAGCTGAATGATGGTTCTAACCAAATTCACACTTATTCAACAGGCATGCCATGCCCATCAGCCAAAACAGAAGTGTGGGTCTATGCAATCCCAGCCAATTTTCTCCTTGAATCATTAAAATTTAATAAAACAGACTAACGAGTTTGGACTTGTGGTTTCGTACCCTGACTTTCTCGCTTACAGACTTACATCTCATCAATTAAATCAGGGCCAGTTATGGACTAACGCAATCTCGATCTTGTTTTTTTCTTTGGATCAATAAGCCTTGATGGCCCGGGGTTGGCATTATGCTCTTTTCTAGGTACTCTGAGTTATGGCCTATTTTGCGTACAAACGTTAAAAAACATACACGCACAGATCCACTCGAATATAAAAGAACTTGCCAAACTTTACTACATGCATCTATATCTAAAGTTTTTCCCGCGATGGGTATATATATCAAGTAGAAAAAAAAACGGTCAGTCTTCTTGACTTGGTGTTATCTTGAGGCTTTTGCAAGAGTGAGTCCCAGCTCTGACGATATTCGTCAGATGAAGAAGGAAAGCTCAGCCTGCTTGCAACCGAGACGTTGGAGAATGTCTAGTGGACGGCATCAACCTGCATGTCGTATTAAGGTTAAACAGCTGCAGTGCAAAGCGAATCAGCCGGCGTCTTATGGTGAGATTGATCCACTAATGTCTTTATCATGCACTTTCATACGAAATGAAAGTCTTCAAAACCCTTTTATGAAATAATTATTCCTTCACATATTAAGGTCAGCGATTAAATAAAATGACAGGGAAGTATTATTAGAGGGATTAAGAAGCTAAAGGTACTAAAGGTAATACAGCTAATAACATTATTTTAAGCATTAATCTATAAATAGACTTAGGTTTATTAATTGTCTGAGTATTGGCGCCTAGAAACGACACCGTGTTAAATTTGTTGTAGTGTCAGAAATAAAAACAATGAAGGAGCAGTCGTATGGAAAATATTATGTGGCTTGTAGTACAGCCAGTATCTTTTGGTTTTGAAAAATTGTGACATCGTTTGCCTAAACTGGGAGACATCTAAATGACAATGTCAGGTAATGGACCTAGAGCAGCACGCTTTTTACGCATAGGATAAATGGAGGGTTATAGGTGACAATTTCACGAGCAACTAAGGTAGTTTACATGGCCTTCTTACTAAAGATGATGCAATAATTGTATAATCTATCTAGTTTACAAAAGTTTTAGCTCTAATGTATAACCATAATGTAATCTGTGCTCCATTAGTTTTAATGTAGTCAGTGTATATTTATCAAGGAGAGGTCTTATCAAGAAGAACAGTGCTTTATCTAAATATCTTTTGTTGAGCTTACTTCCATTTCGAGTGAAAGTGTTAGGTGAAGAGATTCGAAGGTCGGTTCCAGCAGAAGACGAGGGCGAATTCCTCTTTACCAGCTGTCGATTGGCTTTACTGGAAGATTCATGCTTACGCTGTTTCCAAGGCAGTCTCCTTCGATTCCGGTGTAAAGGTATTAAGCTTTCGTCCGTCATATGACGGACAACATCAGAGCGAGGTAACATCGTCACAACAAAATTCAAGCTAACGAGTCAAGAAAACTCACCGGAAAATTCATAAAAAGTGGTATATATACTCTACATTTGTCCTCTTTGATCAAATATAAAATGATTTAGTTAGTTAAGGTCATATGTCAACTTCGATGCATGTGAGTGTCTGTCTCTGTATGTGTATATGCTTGTGTGTTATGGATTTGCCGGTGAGTTTTCTTGACTCGTTAGCTTGAATTTTGTTGTGATGATGTTACCTCGCTTTGATGATGTCCGTTCATATGACGGACCAAAGCTTAGTACGTTTTCACCGGAATCGAAGGAGAGTGG